TTGTGAGAAAGTGTGTGCCGAGAGCGCGAGCGAGCGAGCGACAGACCGGGCCATGTCCGCTGGATATGTCGCGGCAGGTGGTGTAGTCCCCGCCGGGCAGGCGCACCCGGAGGTGCCAGGAGGCGAATGCGTGGGGCACGGAGGTGTTGCCTTGAAGTTGTGGGTGGGTCTGAACCGAGACCAAGACTTGCACCTGGAGCGGATGGGTCAGGTGGAGTGTCCGCAAGGACGGCAGGGACAGTGGTATTTTCCACTGAAGACCCGCGCGGAGGCCGCGGTGCAGAGCGCGCTGGATGGGCATGATGGGATGGCTGGCCGGGACGTCATTTTGCGCCCGATTTCTGTGACGCACGTGGGATTGCTGCGGATGCTGCAGTCGGGACACTTGTATCCCGTGGACGCAGACCAGTGGCGACTCTACGCACCGCTACGAGTGCCGGCTCCACGAGACGATCAGGGGCATCCGTACTACGCGGTGCACGGCCCGACCACCGTGGCGTGAGAAGGTTTTTGAGTGTTTGTGCCAGGTGGTGGAGTCCCCGGCATGAGCAGGAGAGGCGCGTGCAGGGTATGTGGTGGTGGTGTCCCCCGTACAACCGTCTGTGGCACAGTGCCGCGCAGCCGACGTCGCGCACGACTGCGCATCGAAAAAGAGCGCGAGAAGGCGTTGATGTACTTTGTTTGAATTGAAACAATTTGCAAAATACGTTTGAGCTTCCGCGCGTTGTCAGCGGTAGGATAGAGGTTTTGCCATGCAGTGGCTTTGACTTACATCTAAAGAGATTATTGTAGAGATTATTTTCCCGAATAGATATCTCTAGACAAGTGTCAGTTAGATTGCAATACGCAGAGGGTGTGTCAAATTTAGACACATGTGAGACGGGTTGAAGACGACAAAGAAAGAGTATGTTTGTTCGAGTTTGAGCAAGAGAACAGCATCCGAAGTGTTTTTGTGCTGGCAGAGCTGTTTACAGGAGACAGGATAGCACCCGATAGCACGCTTGGTCTCCGACATGGTGACGTCCACGCGCGGGGAGGTGGCAGGTGGTGGAGTCCCCGCCACGGGTGGCCATGAGCGTTCTGGTGATGCCCTCATCGCCGTCGGCGCAGCGCACCCGCCTGTGGAGGGTGGATCTGTGCAAGGACATGGAGGGACCGCACTGCGCCTGTTCGTGGGTTTGAGTGAGAGTCAAGCCGTGGAATTTGAGCAGACGGGACAAGTTCGACCACCGGTGGGGAGACAGCGATGTCGCTACTGGGCCCTGAAGAAGCGAGCCGACCACGCAGCACTCTCGGCAGCGGAAGCTTGGGGAATAGAAATGGGCATGGTGGTGCTGCGACCTGTGAGTCTCACCTATGCGGGCGTAGTGGAACTGCTGGAGAGTGGAAAGCTGTATTGCGTAGACAGAGAACAGTGGAGGCTTTACGACACTCTGCGAGCGACTGCGCCGCTAGACAGCGCGGGGCACGTGTGCTACGAGATACATCCAGCTTTCACCTTAGCGTGAGAATTGGGAAGCCATCCGCGGCGTATGCTCATCTGTTAATTTTTGAACAACGGTGATCTGTGTGGTGGAGTCCCAAGATCACTGTGAGCGACGCGGCGGATGCGGTGATCTGTGTGGTGGAGTCCCAAGATCACTGTGAGCGACGCGGTGGAAGCGACGGCGACAAAAAGCTGATCGATACTGTTACTTGGAAATGGGTGTAGGACCAGCAGTGCCAAGACGTAGGCGCTCATGTAGGGCACGCGCAGACATCACCTGAAGTTATTATTGCTCGGATCAGTCAGCGCGCAGCTCGCGTCTCGCGCTCAGGCGCAAACGAACTGGATGCAGGACACCCGCAGGGTGAGGATTGGGACGAGGCGTGTGTTGGAGAGTGAGACAGTATACACAGCTGTCTGAATGCGGGCGTCCAATGCAGAATAGTTGAAGTCCTCGATATTGCGAAAGAATCGATCAAACATAGATTTATACAATGTATCGATTGCGGGAATGAAAATATCATGTGTGTATTTGTGGTTTAGGATTGCCTCACCACTGAAGAAGAGTAGTGTAGGAAGTGACCACACGCAACGGAGCACACCGCGCACACACCGCAGGGGACACGGGGACGGCTGGAACAGGAAGTGTTGAATGGATTGATAGAGTCTTGCTTTTACGTGTGTATATACATGAGAGACATCTGCTTCAGCTGAACGTAATGTAGCTCAGCAACGTCTTTAGAAACCACAAACATATACACCTGGTGAATGTTAACATAATAGGGCTGAGCAATCTGAGAGTACTCTCGGGACTGTTGTGTTGATGCATATCAAAGAGCTTCTGAAAGTTGTGTTTGAATTAGAAGACAGCGCCTTGCGCGCGTCTTGAGGCGAGAAGATATACTCCGAGGAGAAGAGGTGGCTGCGGGGTGTTGGACCGGGGGAGTCGCGTGCGGCACAGTATAGAAAGGCATGAAGTAAATAAAGATATGAAGTTTGGATTTGATAGGTGCACAGAGGAAACAGCAGCATGCGTGGAATCATGGCGGCTCCAGCGGTTGGACTCGATGCAATACACGTGTTCATGCATACACAAGCGTGGTAAGCGGTACAACCAGAGAGCATACAAGCCGTGCCAGGAAAAACAGAGAGAGTCTAAAGATATAGAACAAACTTACCTGACAGATGTACACAGGAAACGAAACCAACGGGCCAAGAGGACGACTTAACTCTGCAGTCTTGGCGCGGACTCATGGCGGGAAAGCGAGAGAATGTACAGAAGAGAGAATTTCTTTTGGAGCCTTGGCAAGAGCCTATTCTGAAAGGTAGGCGTATGTCTCGTGGTGGAGTCCCGGACATGCTTCAATGGGGCTTTCCGTTACACAAGGAGATGCGTTTTCATGGCTTGACGTTGAAGCACCGCGTGGCGCGGGAGTACAACT